CGCCCTCTATCGGCTAAACGGTTTTAGATATCAAAAAGCGGTTTGCACCAATCAAAATTTCATGAAATTTGAGCCTCAGAGTGGGGGGTAAATTTTTTTTTATCCCTAAAAATAAAGGGTGTTTCCATAAGGAAGTGTCCAAATTGGCCCACCCTGTACAAGTAGGCACTTTATTTACAATAGTCCCAATTGACAGAATTGCAGACTTCAGCAGGTACTTCTACCTTTTTACCCAATGCACTTAGAGAGAAAAGAGAAATTATTTTATTTAGTATTTAAGGGAGAAAAATCCGCGAAAGCGGAAAATGTGGAGAAAATGAAAGACTCGAAAAATAGGTGTTTAAGGGCCCGGGCGGTGTGTGTCCTTCGGCTGACAATCGATAATCATCGATATAACCTGCTCGCTCGCTTACTGCGGTATTAGCCGGGAGGCATTTTTGTATCGAGCGTCCAGCAACCCGCATTCGGGGTACCCGACCTCGGCACGTATCAAGCGCACGGTAGTACGAAAATCACTCGGACTACCGTATGCTCGATACTCGCGACTCGCGCCTACAGTCTCGAATATCTTTTTGAGTTTTCCTGGCTCCTCACCATCAAGCTACTTGATAATATGTATTAGTTTAATTTTGGTTCTGGTAGTCAAATCGTAAAGCAATTTTAATTCTAGTAGTTCACTAAGTGGAATGGAAAGTAGCAAAAAACTTAAAGATTAATAAGATTTTGCTATTTGCCTAGTTATTTGATGCTGTCTCTAACAAACTATCCCAAACTAATAGACTGTGAGATAGGGCCTGTTTAGTGGAGTCATTTTTTTTTGTTTGGCATTTTGAGGGCTGAATGTGGCTACTAAGCTGATGAGAATATGGGTGGTTTTAATGCCCGCCTCCCGTTCGAAAATTTGCAGAAGAAAAAAATTGATTTACATGAGGATTTTTTTTTTATTGATCTCAAATTTTTTGGCTTCTAAATAAAAGATTGACACTGATAAATAATTCACCCATAAAAAATACCAGATGCTTTTCAATAGCTGAAAAAGTGGGGATGAGTGTCAACTTCCAAGAGAAAAGAAAAGAACCTTCCGCGTTTACTTTTTGTCTGATAATCGAGAGAATGAAAGGTTTTGTTGTGAAAATATCGCTGAAAAATCGCCAGACGGTAATCCCAGTTCGAAGTCGAGTTTTCCGGCGAAACATTCTGTGGACATTTCGAACAGGTGGCAAGCACTAAAACCACCTATATTCTCATCAGCTAACTAGCCACATTCATCCCTCAAAATGCCAGACAAAAAAAAATGACTCCACTAAACAGGCCCTATCTCACGGTCTATAACCCTAAGGCTGTCCTGACCTTAACCTTTTGCTCAGCTCCAATTTGGGTTAGTTTTGGTTAGTTTTGTTACTTAGAGACAGCATCATAAATAATTATTTACATCTGCCTGAATCTAATCTCCGCATTTGTCAAATAACGATTGCAGGTATACAAATCCCTACACTCAACCAAATAGTAGCATAAATAAAAAGAAGTTGTTCTTTGATTTAATGAACAATTCATCAAAATCGGTCCAAAGAACGGCTTCTTTGATCACATGAACTCTAGGTTATTGAAGTATGAACAATTTCTTAATTCCTATTTCGATTCATCTTGTGTATGAACAACGAACATTAAGGTATGTAGCAAGGTTTTTGTATTAATGAAACTTTTCATAGTAACAATAAACATCGTTCTTAGTTTATATGTACTTTTTCATTGTCCTGATGAACAGACGGCATAATATTAATGAAGCCCAGATATAATTTGATGAAACCCTTTCATTGTATTTATGAATCACAGTCTTGAATACTAAGAATTGCATTCATTGTATTTATTAATGACGTTTTCAATAATATGTACCATATTCTTTATTTTTATTAAAATAATTTCATGAATTATGCCTTAAATATACTTATGATTTTAAATGGGGTAAAGGGTCATATTTTATATTTGCGTGTCCCCTGTACTGATGAATATGAGCAATAGGAAAAAAGCTTTTAATGCAAAAGTTCCATGGTTTCTTCATATCATCTTCCAGAACAAACCAATGGGCATCCCAAAATCTGAAAATTTAAAAATCTAAGTACCTACTTATGTATTTTTATTTTAAATGACACTAACCGTATATTGTATTATCTTTCAAATCCTCCTTAAATCCTGTTTCCATAAATATATAATATATCTATATTTATTCCAGCTGTTTTTGAACTATCAACATCCAAAGTTTCTAAAACAAGCCACATCAGAAAATTAGATTTGATGCTTTGGCTGGTTTCCTTGCCTCGGCTATGAAACACTAGCTGCGGTATTGAATCTTCTGCTTTTCTACTTAGTGAAACAAAACCATTTAACAAAAATATATCGATTAAAAAAATTACAACTTGATTTGGGATTGAGTGTACTTACTTTTAGAGACTTCAGTATTCCTTAGAAATTCTGAGGAGCTCTTGACGCTTTTGTCTTTCACGTTCTCCCCGGATGACATTTAAATCTGTAGGTCATTTCTTTCGCATTCCCATTTTGAGACTAGACCGTCTCCGTGCAAGGCATCAAAGTCCTACCTACATAATAGGTATACATATTATAGAGGTAATAGAGGTATACAACTTACCTTTAGAAAAAAACGGCGACAGGTATAATCGACTTTCTATTTAACACTTCGAACAACACAAAACCGAAAAAAACCGACTTGAACGAAGTACGTAGCAATGCACCCAGAAAATAGAAATGTAATTTTTCCTATTTCAACATATTTTTCTATTTCGTTGCCCGACTGCAGCTACCTTTGCGCATGTGCTTAGGAACTGTCTACATTAATGCTATGAACTGTTTCATTGTATTTATGATTTATCTTGATGTAATGATTGCAGCTTTGTTTCTAGGAATACTTGCTTGTTTTAAATGAACCGTACATTGTATCAATGAATTTCGTTCTTAAAAGGATAAGTCTCTAGTAAGGTCATATGAACCATATTCATATTATTCATGTTAATATTCATTTATATTATGAATATTCCGTGGAAGCTCCCATCAAAGAAATTTTCTTTAATATCAAGGTTTAATTTCATAATATCAATGAACTTAGTTCTTGTAACCGATGCACTATTCAACATAGATTCATGTAGATGACTATTCATAACTTAATGAAGCTTCATTCTTTATTTTAATGATAGCTGTTCATGAAATCATAATACTTACAGTTTTCTGTACCTGGGATTAATGAAAATTTCACTGAATCAATGAAAATGTAATTTATGAAAGCAGTTCATTGATATTATGATCAAGATTTTTTTGAGTGTAAGTAAATAGCAAAAATCTTGTTAATTTTTACCTGCTTTAAAAATTCGATTTTTAAATCGTTCTAACATATTTCAAAAAATAGGCGTTTTTTTTTGGAGAAAAAAGTATACAGATGATAATGTCATTGGAATAATGGCTAACACAATAATTCAAAAATGTTTTCGAAAAAACGTGAAAGTGGCCTATTCTATCTCGCCATGGTATTCTATTCATGGTAAGGTTATGTAGATAAAACATAATTTTGCTCTTACTTATTCCCTTACCTCGACTTCCTGCTTAGTCTTGAAATTAGTTCGTATTTCGCTGGAATCGACAATGTGGTAAGTACATATAATTTTCTGGCCAGTGCATAATAAATGATAAACAATTAAAAAAAAAAAAAACTGAATTGTTGGACGCCGATCCATAATTTCACAGAAGACTAGTATCAAGCGTACGGTAGCTTGACAATCGATCGGGAAATCAGACGCTCGTTATGAGACAGGCCTCGGTTAATACGACGTTACCCGAATGCGGTATACTGGGCGCCCGATACAAAAATGCGGGTCATGGAGACACGTCATTTATCAAGGATATTACCTTTTCTGCGCGCATAAAAAAGTAAATAAAATTTCGATTCTGGTTTTGGGTATGAAAACATTAAAAAATAGAACGGATTTCCAACAAATCACTTGCCCGTCCATCTTCAGAACATATCGTCTATAAAAGTGTTCAGACGATCTTTGAAGAATTCACTGATCAGTAAGGCCTACTATGATCTAGGTGAGTTTTACGCGGATGCATTGTGACTTGCCTTTACTGTTTGTCTACAAGTTTTTTTAGAGTGTATTTTTTATAGGTATATGTTTTGTTGGACAAGAAATAATCATTTTGGAAAATATAGTACAATGGTGCTAGTTTAGGTTTCATTTTTCATATTTTTGTTTCTCTATTTCTATTTATTTGTTGTGTTCATTAGTTCATTTGTAGGTATTTTTTAGATCTAAGTACATAGGTATGACTTTTATAGTTTTTAGATAATATGCTTTGTCAACGAATATTAAGTTATTTTTTTCTGCAATAAAGCACATTTTGATGTGATTTAATTTGATTTGAATAAGTATTCACTATCTATATTGTTTAACAGCCAAACTTCAACTTAAAAACTACAAACTTATACCGGCCTTTATATATCCGCAATCTATTCGTGTAGATTCTAGAATAAACGCGATAACTCTCTTTCCCGAAAAGCACCGCAACAGTCTAGGATCAGCTGTCCAATTCTGTACACCCTGGGTGCTTCTGCCAGATTTTCGCGACAATGGCTGAGTTCGTTTTTGTCATCTTTTTCGTCGATTTGCTCCGAAATTTTGACAGACATGTGACTGGATTAGATCGTTTCAGTTTACCAGAGATACAGTATACAAATCACGTGCCTGTCAAAATTTCGGAGCCAATCGACGAAAAACATGACAAAAACGAACTCGGCCAATATATCAAACATATGCATGCATATCAAACATATGTATACAGGGTGTCCATTTTCCGAGTGCAATGGCAATAGGAAATTGTAGGTTCGGTTGAATTGGGGCAAAATTGCATAATTTGCCATGAAAATATTTTCCTTCTCGCTAAATAAAACTACATTTATCAAATGGGGTTCGAATTTTATATGGATAAAATATGCAGCATTTTTCTATCATTCTTTCCATAACTTAAGATTGACCAAGGGCAAATCATTGCAATCAACTAGCTTATTTCTAGAAGTAAAATAGTTTTTAAATCAATCAATAATTACTCTGAGAATAAATTTTTTACTCACTCAGTTGATATTTGTACAAAACTATTGGGTTGCATCCGTTTGATGTGAGTATTATCACAAAGCCATCTTGAGATACTAGCTTTTCGTATTTCTCGAAGTTGGGGCAAAGTGAAACCTACATAAATTCTCAGTTTAGTTGAAAATAAAATTGAAAGCATTTTTTTACCCTTACCAATGTCGCCAGAATTTTCAAAGAAAAAACGATCCCCCTTTCTGGTCCTAATGAACTGTTCAGTAATAATACACAAAAATGTTTTCCCAACTCGAGCTCCAGGCACCAACTTTTCCAAGGACCCTCCTACGAGCAGATCGATATCATCTGGACTCTTATAGAGCTTTTCTAGTTTTTGTATATTCTCTTTCCTGATGACATCAAGTAAATCCTTAAAAGAATTTGCTCTTGGCAAGCCACAATATTGCCTTAAATCATTATACGTTGCCAAACCGTGATCTCTGCCTCTCTGGATACAAATGGCTATCAAATCAAGCCCTACTAAATCTCCTGGGTTTGCTTCAAACTTGTTTGTCATTTATAATTTAATAGTTATTTATGGTACTAGTGTGTTATGTTGAAAATAAGTCACGCGAGAAAGATTTATACCACGAGGCCGTCAGGCCGAGTGGTATAAATTCTCAAGTGACTTAGGAAACATAACACACGAATGGCATACAATGTTTTATCCAACAAGTGGAGGATATAATTTTTTAATGAGATAATAATTAATAAGCTTTGTGATCAAATCAAAGCTACTTGCGTCTTAATGGTTGCGTTCCTAAGGACTCAACATGTTGAGTGATTAGTCAGCGGCTATGTTGAAAACAGATGAAAATCAGCTCTAGGCCAATCAAAACTTTTGCATTTCACTAGCTGGAACAAAGCCGCTTACTAATCACTCAACATGTTGAGTGCTTAGGAACGCGATCAATGATGTCATTGGTCTCAGTACCCTATAAATGTCAGAATGACTTGACAGTGACTTTTTAATATTTTTGTCAAAGCACATACAGTATAGGATGTCTGATTGGTTGCCACGGGCATGATACATTGTACATACATTGTTAGCAAATGTTTAAATACATTTTGACACTTGTCAGCTTTCCCTGCAGAAAAGAGAAGCTTCTTTGAAGAAAAAAACGAATAGAAAATGGAGGAAACCGATCACGTTCCTAAGGATATCCTTACGGAAGCAGAAGAAGCAGCGATACAGATTTTGCCAATCAAGTCCCGAGATGCTTACGACAAGGAGTTCAAAATGTTTAAGTCTTGGATGAATTCACGGAAGATTGAAGGTATCGATGAAAATATTCTATTGAACCAACCAACGAATTTTACAATGACTTCAAATTCGAATAAACCGTTAGCATTTTCCTTTAATTTCAATATCAATGTAAATTCGGCTTGTAATAGGTAAATAAATAGAATACTACTTTAAATATGAACGTGAGTTATAATCCATAACTCACTTAGTCTGGGAGACGACTGCATTTTTCCTACCCCGATCGAGCTATTTGTCGACACTATTATCAATATATAGTATAATGTGCATCTATTAACCTGTATTCCTGCCTGAGAGCAAATGCTGCCGGAAATATCTTTTAACAAATTATTAACAAATTGAAAAAAACGTAACACTACCCCCATCGAGTTATGCCCTAAATAGGGTATCAGATTGAAGGTCTCGATGTCCCCTATCTAAAAAGTCGATCCTGCCTCGTGAGAACTTGCCGGAAAAGGGTGGCAGGACAGCTTATTAGGGCAAGGGCCTGCGGTCTCTGCTTTGACACCTATCAAGCTTTGCACTAAATGATGTGTCAGATTAAAGGTGTCAATAAGTTGATTTTAGGCCTGTTCGCACAGAAATCACGAACCAGTCAGAGCGAATTTCATTGGTTGGAAACAGTCAGGAAACTAGTTTCAAACAATGAAATTCACTCCTTCTGGTTTGGGATTTCTGTGCGAAGAGACCTTAAATCAACTTATTAACACCTTTAATTTGACACATCATTCAGTGCAAAACTTGATAGGTGTCAAAGCTGAGACCGCGGGCCCTTGCCCCAATAAGCTGCCCTGCCACCCTTTTCCGGCAAGTTCTCACGAGGCAGGATCGACTTTTTAGATAGGGGACATCGAGACCTTCAATCTGATACCCTACTTAGGGCATAACTCGATGGGGGTAGTTTTACGTTTTTTTCAATTTGTTAATAATTTGTTAAAATATATTTCCGGCAGCATTTGCTATATATTGATAATAGTGTCGAAACATAACTCGATCGGGGTAGGAAAAATGCGGTCGTCTCCCTACCTAACTAGTTTACTTGTCTGAAATGACATTAATAATACCAGTCATAACTGTCATGTGTTGGATAAAATTTATTATACAAGGTTCTAAATTAGTTGCAATGCTCTAAGCATCGTATGACTTTGGAAGTGATTGGTATTTTATCTTATATAGGTCATGAGCTTTAGGATGGATTCCGGTTTGGGTTTGCCTTGTCAATGGCATACAGGGTGGCCATTTAGAGTGTTAAACAGTATTGAAGTACCATATCTCATATCGTATAGTTTCTCAGGAAGTTTAGGACCAATAATGAAACTCCAATTTTCACCTAAAAATTGCTTACATTTCAAGCAAGTAGCAAGTCTTTCTCAAGGCTAAAACAATGACACAGATTAAAGAGTCACACGACACACTAATTAGGCGACAGCTCAATAATTCACTTATAAACCTGAAATCGTACTTTACCAATGAATTGCCAGAATAACAATACTTATAACTAATTAGAACGGATCACGCAGCAGTCAAATGGTTGATGGATATAAAATAACTAAAAGGGCAAATTTCAAACAGATGCTTGAAGAAATTGCAGCCGTATATACCTTTAAAATTGAACACAGATCAGGATCAGCTTGACTGCGTAATATTGCAGAAAAAACGAAACCAATAAAAGATGTTAGATTTTGAAGTAAAATTTTTGAATTTATACAGTAGGTAAATTCTTGCCTTGAAGAAATTATGGGTTCATTTGGATTCGTTGCGAGTTTGTCTGGGACTCCTGGGAGAGTGCCAATGCCGAGGCCAATGCCAATGTAATAGACTGTGAGATAGGGACTGTTTAGTGCGAGTCATTTTTTTTGTCGGGCATTTTGAGGGCTGAGTGTGGCTAGTTAGCTGATGAGAATATGGATGATTTTAATGCCTTTCACCTGTTCGAAAATTTGGAAAAGAAAAAAATTATTTACATGAAGAATTTTTTTTTAACGATCTAGAATTTTATGGCTTTTAAATTGAAGATTGATATTGATAAATAATTCACAAATAAAAAATACCAGATGCTTTTCAATAACTGAAAAAGTGGGGATGAATGTGAACTTCCAAAAGAAAAGAAAAGAACCTTCCGCGTTTACTTTTTGTCTGGCAATCTAGAGAATAAAAGGTTTTGTTGCGAAAATAACGCTAAAAAATCGCCAGACGGTGATCACAGTTCGAAATCGAGCAAATCCGCAAAACATTCTGTGGACATTTCGAACAGAGAGCAGGCATTGAAACCACATATTCTCATCAGCTAACTAGCCACATTCAGCCCTCAAAATGCCAGACAAAAAAAAGCATCCACTAAACAGGTCCTATCTCAAGGTGTATAACAATTCTTGGTACAGGGTGTCAAGTAATAAAAACCACCACCTTAAACTTTTTTATTTCCTAACTATGTCCTCGTCTAATCGAACACTTAGTCCATGCTCTATTGAGCAGTACAATGTGGGATTATCATTTAAAGGAACTGCGATTGATGTAGCTGACAAGTATTTTCTAAAATAAAGAAAAGCAACAAATACATCTTAACTCAAATGGACAGTAAATGGTCTGCTGATGTATTTAACATCCCCAATCAAATAGCTTCAAGTTCTAGTAGACAACCTGTTCTACAGGCTCTGCATTTTCTTGGAACAGCACTATAATGGGAGACGGAGCTTCGAATCCATGCTTTTCCAGGAGTAAGCAATACTTGATATTATTAAGACTAAAATGACGTCGTTGCCAGATGGCATGGCTGAGATATCCGATAAAACATAATTGAAAAACAATTCTCCAAGGTCCTGGGTATGTGCGGTACAAAGGAAAATTTATGTCACCAAAAATAACGCAAGATGAAACAGACACGTAGTACAGTAAATAGAGACAAATAAATCGCATTTACTAAAAAAAAAAATACTTAATGGCTGAAATTTTGAGGGTGTGTTCGGGGGCATGTCCTGAGTCTAAAACTGAGTTTTCGTATTCGAGGGGGTGGGAGAAGATACTACCCCCTCTTTATGTAGGGTTGAGCTCGTTTTAATTCCTCATCTTCGGTGCTATTGCCTGTACCGTCAAGTCGGAGAGATCAAATTTGTGGGAAATAAAATTATCCATCTAATGATAATAAAATCAAGGTCATAGGACGATTAGGTGAATCACAATGACCGGTCAAAGGTCAAAAGTGGAGGGTAGTTTTTGATGGTTTTTCGTGAATACCGTGAAACCGGTAGGTTTTTTCGCATTCGATACCATTTCGAAGTACTTGAAATTACCTACAAAATGAGTGCTCAAACACTCATCTAGTGTGAATAGTTTGCCGTCATTCCAACGACCAAGTTGACCGCGCGCGCCGATGTTGTACTTCCTGATAAGCTAGAAAGTTGAAATTTTCAGGGGACTTAGAATTTTTAATTTCGTCGAGCCAAAACAAATTTCATTCCCCCCCCTCGACCCTGGGAAACCCTGGGGGCGCTGTCAAAGTTTTGACTTTCGACCCCTGTACAGCCCAAACGGGTGGGGAGGGGGGGGGGCGGAAATGAAATTTTCAGGAGAAGTAGAGAAGAACTTTTTCTTCTATCGAATGGATGGGGAGACGAATTTTTAAAAAAAATTTGAGGGGGGGAAAACATGAAAAACGCAATATCTCGAGAACTTTGCGATCTAAAAATGACGTCCCAAGGGCTTTGGGCCGATTTGGATGAAATTTAAAGTGTAGGTAAAAGGGGTCTAAAAAGGTTTAATTTCAAGTTTCAGCTCTCTACGACATATAGGAAAGGTTCTAGCCCCTATCTCCCAATTTTGAGAAAGGGCGTAGAATGGGGTATACGCGTTTTGCATTTATTTCCACGAATTTTGAAAAATTAAAATTTTAATCGGATAGAGGAGGAAAAAATACGTCGAAAATGTCTCTAGGCGTTTTTTGCTCTGACGCTTCCTAAGCGCGCGCGGTCAACTTGGTCGTTGGATTGACGGCAAACTATTCACAGTAGATGAGTGTTTGAGTACTCATTTTGTAGGTTATTTCAAATACTTCGAAATGGTATCGAAGCAGTATGCGAAAAAACTTACCGGTTTCACGGTATTCACGAAAAACCAAAAGCTATCCCCCAGTTTTGACCTTTGACCGGCCATTGTGATTCACCTAATCGTCCTATGACCTTGATTTTATCATCATTAGATAGATAATTTTATTTCCCACAAATTTGATCCCTCGGACTTGACGGTACGGGCAATAG